AATAGTATTAAAGTCAGCATTTCTGGCAAACTTCCATATCAAAGAAGAAGGTGGAGATTTTATTTTATTTTTTTTTTATTTTTTTTTTAAAGATTTATTTTTATTATTTTTTCATTGGAAAGGCGGATATACAGAGAGGAGAGACAGAGAGGAAGATCTTCCGTCCGATGATTCACTCCCCAAGTGAGCGCAACGGGCCGATACTATGCCGATCCGAAGCCAGGAGCCTCTTCCGGGTCTCCCACGCGGGTGCAGGGTCCCAAAGCCTTGGGCCGTCCTGGACTGCTTTCCCGGGCCACAGGCAGGGAGCTGGAAGGGAAGCGGGGCTGCCGGGATTAGAACCGGCGCCCATATGGGATCCCGGGCGTGCAAGGCGAGGACCTTTAACCACTTGCGCCACCGCGCCGGGCCCGAAGGTGGATATTTTAAACATAAAAATAAAATAATGTTAAGGGATGGTGAGTACTAAGAATATAATTCAAGATGTTCATTGCAATGCATTTTCATCTTATCAATTTCTGAGAGCTATGTAATTACTTAGTCTTTTTTTTCATATATTGCAGAATAATTAATGATTAACTAACATCTCAAATGACTCGTTCAGCACCAGATATCATGGTGCAGTGGAATTAAGCTGTGGCTTGGAATGCCAGCATTGTTATCTGAATGTCAAATTGTGTTATCCATGCTCTGCCTTGGATTTGTGAATGTGCCTGTGAAAGTAATGGATAAAGAATAAACACTTGAGTCCATGCCATCAAGTAGAAGATCTAGATGGAGTTCGTCTCTCCTGGTTTTATTGTGGCAAATCACCAGATCTTGTAGCCATTTGAGAAGTTACTGGATTTGAGAAGTGGTGAATTAATGATCTTTCAGTTTCTGTTTCTCTCTCTCTTTCTCTGTCTTTTGAATAGATAGATGGATAGATAGATAGATAGATAGATAGATAGATAGATAGATAGATAGATAGATAGATAATTAAGGGCAATATAGTTTAGATATCAAATTTGAAGTGAATCCAAATTTCAGTCTTTTGGTTAAGCGCAGAAAATAAATTATGATATATTTCTATCAATATACTGTTTCTACATCACAATATCAAAATATTAGGTTCTAAGGTGAAAATACATTTTAAATAACTGCAAAAGTTGAGATAACAAAATATATGGAAAACGTTTGTGTATTTGTTTAGATTTCTGGTGCAAAAGAAAAGCTCAGGTACTAAAAAATGCAAATCGAGGGACATTTTCATTATTTAACTCAAATATTTTTAAAGAACAAAATAAAATAAACTATATAGCTTCTTCATTCTAAAAGGGCCGATTTAGTGCACACACAGTATATACATATATATGTATGTAGTTTTTAATCATGCACTGGTTAATTTTTCCAAAGGTTACTTGGTCTGTCCAATATCACGATCCAGGATTTTCCAGGTTTCCCAAGTGATTCTATCCAAGGACTTGAGCCATGCTCTGCTGCTCTCCCATGTCCTCAGCAGGGAGTTGAATGGGAAGTGTTGCAGTCAACACTCCATCATACCTACATAGTTTGCTAGTGCCACAGACAGAGGCTCAGCCTGTTGTATCATGGCGCCAGCTCCAAATTACAAATCCTAGTTTATGTGGTAGATGGGAGCTGTATAAAATACCACACATCAGAGTGGTTTCACATAATCTACTGTATAGCTTTTCAACTGTGTACATTTAAAGATGTTGTGTCACATATGTCAGTGTTATTTTCCTCTAAGGAAAATTGGAGAGAATAATACTGGGTGTATTAGAATGGAATCCAAATGAAATATACAATAATGGGATGTAAGATGATTAACCTGGTGTCAAATCCATGATTATAATAGCTGTGAAATTTAATATTACTCATGGAGATTACATAGGGAAAACTCATCGCTAACAGACTACTGGACTAAATTTTTAAATTCACATTAAGAATAAAAAATTGAGTGCTTTTAGCAAGCAAATTCACTTGAAGAGATTATTTTAATTAAGTTGTTTGCAAATATGCCCATTTTTTAATCCAAAAATTTATATACAGCAATGTTCCTAGTAATACCTAAATATAATATAGTGGTAGATCAATAATTTCAACAAACTGATGTTCTAGAATTTAATTTTTGGCAACCACATTGAATAGTAATAGAGAACACACATACTTTATTTCAGAGAAAAATTTAATCATGTAAGTACTATACCTGGTGTCAGTGAATACACATTTGGTGAATGAAAGGAAATCATTTTTCACAGAACTATTACAAAAACAAGAAGATTCACCATTTATTATTTTCGATTATATTGTTGCAGTTTTGACCCTTTTCTACATCTTAGAGGAAGGAGTTGCTGCAAACATACTATTAAAGATGGTTCAGAATCACATCTATTTTATGAAATATAAATAATACTTAAATCTACTTTCCAAGAATGATGATGACATAGAGTGCTTCAAGCTTGAAATGTAACAATAGTGAAGGTAGAATTTGCTATGTCTGTACAAATATATTAAAATGTACAATGAGCAGGTAAGACAATAAACATGGAAAAATAAGAAGGCAGAAAACAAATGTACACGTGCTTTGACATTGTACACTATTAAAATTGCACTTATCATATTTTACTGTATTATAAAATAATTATATCTCAACTGAATACAAATATATATTAACATTTTCAAGGCAAATTCAGAATAAAGTATTTGTTTGTACACTTAGGTGCAAAAGGACTTCAATTTGCATGGTCAGAATTTGTGGCGGTATGAAGAGTGATCTGGAAGGGGAGAGTGGTGTGATATTCTCATTTTTATGGTGTGTCCAAATTCTACATACCAATATTCGAAATGTGATCAATTGCATGTGTGAATGTTGGCCACTCCATCCACGCTGCAACCAGGTAAGAGAGATGAAAATAAGATAAGCAATTCAGTTCTAGAAAAAGTAAGGGAAGATTTCAGTCTCTAGTTTTCTCCTAAACTCTGGAAAGTTTGGGCTCACATAATTGTCCCTAAAATATCCAAGCCCTGGTTTTAATTTCAAATTGAAGGATTTATCATCACACCTCACAAAGCTAAGAAGAACCTTCAATGCATTCCTACATATATTTGTATGTTTCATTTGCACAATATTAATTTTATGTCATCTAATCTTATTTAACAATTCATATTCATGTCATTATTTCTCATATATACATTTTCAAAATTCATATAAAGTAGCAAAATCGCATCTTAATTTGCCATCCGTGAGGTTTGTTAATTTCATAAGAATGTCTGTCTTCTGTGTCCACATTTTTTTTTAAGATTTATTTTATTTTTATTGGAAAGGCGGATATACAGAGAGGAGAGACAGAGAGGAAGATCTTCCGTCCGATGATTCACTCCCCAAGTGAGCGCAACGGCAGATGCTATGCCGATCCGAAGCCAGGAGCCTCTTCCGGGTCTCCCACGCGGGTGCAGGGTCCCAAAGCTTTGGGCTGTCCTTAACTGCTTTCCCGGGCCACAGGCAGGAAGCTGGATGGGAAGAGGGGCTGCCGGGATTAGAACCGGCGCCCATATGGGATCCCGGGGGAATTCAAGGCGAGGACCTTAACCACTGCGCCATCACGCCGAGACCCTGTGTCCAAATTTTTACTGCACAGAAGAAATGTAAGATGTAAAAACCAGGCACTTAGCAGGGAGAGATGACTGCTTTTTCTTTTATAGTGTTAGAATACATTTTCAAATTAGGTGATATGGGTCAAACACCGTAGCCTAGCAGCTAAAGTCTTTGCCTTGCATGTGCCAGGATGTCATATGGGTGCCGCTTCTGATAGCAGCTGCCCTGCTTCCCATCCAGCTCTCTGGTTGTGGCCTGGAAAGTCAATGGAGGATGGCCCAAAACCTTAGGACTCTGCACCCTTATAGGAGACCGGAAAGAGGCTGTGGGCTTCTGGTTTTGGATCCTTGCAGCTCCAAGCCGTTGTGGCCACTTGGGGAGTGAATCAGCATTCAGAAGATCTTTCTCTCTGTCTCTCATCCTTCTCTTTGTATATCTGGCTTTCCAATAACAATAATAAAAAATAAATCTTTTTTAAAAAATCAGGTGATTCAAGTTTTCAACTTTTGTTAATCTTTTCAAAAACTTGCTGAAATAATCTACATCCTTCCTATTAAGTTAAAATTTAGTTTCAACATTCAAAATGCTTACTTGTATACTGACTGAAACTGCATGAAATAGTTAATTTATGAGACAGTTAACATACTAGAAATAATATAATTTGAAACACTGAAAGTTAATCATTTTGAAATTTATTTAGAAATTTTTACTCTATTATATATAAATATGATTTTAAGTATATAAATGTACTGCATATGTATGAGTAATTTTATGATATTCTTATTTAAATAAAATAAATGCTTAAGAAATAAAAAGAAAATATATTGAAAAGTAATGTTTTTCCAGAATTCAAGCTTCTGGTAAGACAGATAAAAAAGTAATATAGAGTTAACTCTCTTTGCTTTATTATATAAAATTTTGTGGACTGAATTTTGTCCTTCAACAACAAAAATTTCAAATATAGAATTCCTAACTCTCAGTGCCTCAGATATTAGAAAGAATCAATAAAGAGATAGGGCCTGGCGGCGTGGCCTAAGTCCTCCCCTTGAATTCCCCCCAGGCTCCCATATGGGCGCAGGTTCTAATCCCGGCAGCTCCACTTCCCATCCAGCTCCCTACTTGTGGCCTGGGAAAGCAGTCGAGGACAGCCCAAAGCTTTGGGACCCTACACCCGTGTGCGAAACTCAGAAGAGGCTCGTGGTTCCCGGCTTCGGATTGGTTCAGTACCAGCTGGTGTGGTCACGTGGCAGTGAATCAACGGACGGAAGATCTTCCTCTCTGTCTCTCCTCCTCTCTCTATATCTGACTTTGTAATAAAAATAAATAAATCTTAAAAAATATATATAAGAGTTAGAAGTGAGCTATTATGAAATCAGTAAGATATTCCTAATTCAAAGTAATCTTTTTAATGGAATGCTTCACAAATTTGCATGTCATCATTGCACAGGGGCCATGATAATCTTTTCTCTATAGCTCCAATTTTAGTTATGTGATGTGGAATAGAGCACCAAAGTGATTTCTTTAAAAAAAGATCTGGACACTACATACATTAGCAGGAGCCACGGGAGGCATTGAATATTTGTGTATCTAATAGTATGCAATACTCATGTTCCAGTAACTTTAATGCTTCTGAAAAATAAGATTTATTTGATTAAAGTAAAGGTAATATTTCAAATGTGATTTTTTTTGGCATATTCACAACAGGTATGACTTTTTGAATTATTTTAGCCAGGATTGATATTTACTGCCTGGGATGTTGCATATTTTTGTTAACATTATTAAATTGCTTGGGTATTTTTCTATTTTTATCCTTGAAGATTTTGATAAGAAATGCATAGCACATAAAATTGTGATTATTTAAACATGTAACATATTAATAAATAATTATAAAAAATCAACTTACATTTTTCTTTTTTCAAAATGAATAGAGTGATAATACGGAGGATGTCACATTATTAGTTTCAATGTGTTTCTAGTAATGATATGAATTTAGTCTTCTTAGGACCAGAGCGGTGACCACAGTGAAAATTATTCTTAGAAGCCTACCTGAACTTTATGTTATTCTTAAAGATTCCGTGATCATAGTAAGGCAACTGCACCTTAGAAAGGCTAAATAATTAATAAACAGATACAGTTAGGTAAGCAGATAAATGACAGATAAGAGGTAGGCATACACATCATCATATGAAACAAAGTTAAGAATGAAAAAGTCAGGAAAACCAGGATTTTTTAATGTATTAATTTTTTATGATGATATGCCATTAAAATATAAGAATACTCTGAAGTTTGGAGATCTGATTTTAAATACTGTACATGTTCTGCTGTCTGCCACTCATAAACTGTGAATTGCCTGAATGCCATCTCATGTCTCCAATATAAAAAAAAAAGCAGCATCGTAATAGGAAACTTGTCTAACAATGGAATTATAAGAATCAAATTATATCATGTAAGTTTTACTAGTGTGAAATTAAGTTAGTCCTTGAAAACTTCTCTGGTTCAAATATTAAATCTATGCGGCTGTTCACTCAGTCACTTAAGTTAGATTTTTGGATGACTCTATAGATAGTGAATATAATTAACCAAAATTACATTTTAAGGGATAGGTAAGATGATAATTCAATGAAATATATGGGAGCTTATAGTCTATTTTAGTTGGAACTTTAAATCACATTACACTCAAAATTTTAGGAAGATTTACCTGTCTTTATATTTTTACACTTCTATCTTAAACTTAATGTCTAAAAGATACATATGTTCAATAACAACACAATATTTTGGTCTTGGATTTAATATAAATCCATACTTAACTAAGTTTCCTCCTGCAATTCTAGTGCTTGAACTTGAAGAGAGCAGTGCCATTTCACTTTCTTTCTTTTTTTTTCTTTAATTTATTCTTATTTTTTAAAATAATGATTACATCGGTGATTAGGGTGGGAAAGATCTAGGTTTAGGGAAAATTGGGTGAATTCATTGCTTCCAAATTTGCTATTTCATCTTGTTGTTCCTGGGGTAAAAGGATAAACAAAGGGAAATGCCACTCACAACTTTCCACTCATCCCAGGTGCTAGGGATGAGGAACCACCACCTCATATAAACCCAGAGTGTCAGTGTTTACATATCCCTAGGGTTCTGGCCAATGGGTTTGGATATCACTGAAATGCTGCTAATTTCACCAATCCAAGGATGATGTCACCCTCCCAATGTCCATTGGTTCCATTCAAGGAAATTATTTGCTGTCATTGTTTATTTGGGGTTGTTGTCCAGTCAGTTCTGTTCTGCTACAGCACCAAATGCACTGACTTACTTTCCTTTTACAACAGGGCCTGTGTCCACTGTGCCTCACCTTTTTTCATTAGGTAGGATGTGTTCTTGCAGTGAGTCCAAGAACTGGGCTAGTTGTCCCAAGTGTCACTATGTCTCCTATCCCTGGGGCTCAAGAACCAACACCCACCTAATATGTGGTCTCTGTAACCCAGATCAGGAGACCCAAGCCCCATAAGGTTCCCCACCCCAGGTTCACGGAACTAGCACCCACCTAGAAGGCAGACTCTAGGATCTGGACCAAGTGACTCACATCCCACCAGTTCCCTGTCCCTGGGGTTCAGGAACTCATCGCCCCACATGTGAACTGTCGGGGTCCCTTGGCCAACAAGTCAAACCCAGACACTCGTTGTCTTTGTGGAACCTTTATTGTGGAGATGACACAGCAAAACCGGTGCGCAGCAGCTGCACAGCGGCCACCATGCAGCCCCCGCACAGCCACCACATCGCGAGGTGCACAGCAGCTACATCTTGGCAAGGTGCGCTCTCTCCCTCTCTCCCCCTCTGAGGCGCGCTCTCTCTCCCACTCCCCGGTTCTCTGGCTCCCGTATATATTGGGTAACCCAGCCAATCAACGTAAAGGTCACCTGTGCACGCAGCGGGCAGGCCATTCTTCACACAGATCACGCACGTGCTGTCCATGCGCCATCCACGCACCCCAGGGCCAATCACAGCAGACTTCCTGTGACTTGTTTTTTCTACCACAGCAGGAAGCAGCAGTTCGGCGCCTGTCTGTCTAGGTGTGGGCTGCAGGCTCCCTACAGCTCCCCACAGTGAACCCCATGGCCTGAGCCAATCTATCCAAGCCCTGTCAGATCCCCTGTCCCTGGGATTCAATTCATATACCTAGTGCCTGCTTGCCCCAGGCTGGCATGACTTGCCTCATCTGAGTTTTCACAGTCTTACTGTGCTGCCTGGCCTAGGCTAGTCTGCTCCCTGTTCCAGCTCCTGCAGGTGGGTGCTGTAGCCTACCTCAACCCATTCTGCTTGCTGTCCCAGTCCGATTTTGAACTGGCCGGTGTTGCACAGCCCAATCTGTCTCCTGCCCCCTGCCCTGGTTCTCAGATCTGCCAGTGGGTGTTATGTGCTGGTCCAGACTGGTCTGTCCCCAGGCTTGACCCACATGTATGCCGGCAGTTACTATAACCTGGCATTGTGTGGATTTCTCCTTGCCTTGCTTCTTGTGCCCTAGTACAGGGTCTGCATCCAAATGAAGGAGCTTCCCAAGCTCCTCCATCCAGTCTTCTCCCTATGGTAGTTCTTGTGCACACTAGTGTGTCATTGGGCCAGGTTCACATTGTCCACTTCCTGATTGGTGAGAACAGTGGCATTGCTCAGCCGACCACACCCATTCTGGTTTTTGTTGTTGGTTATTGTGGCCCAGCTCTACCTGGTTTGAACCCAGAGATAACTTTCGTGTAGTTCAGGAAGAGTCAAGACCTAGTCATACTCTCATGAGTACCAGTGGGAGTCGGATTTAACCCCACTCTGTCGGTCCACCATCCTAGTGCTTAACCATTCTGGTACAATCTGCAGCCATGTACAACCATGCCTGTTGCACTCAATCCTACTCTTGTTTTTACCAATGGAAACCCCAACCCAACTGGAGTGCCCTCTTAGTTCTCCAGCAAAGACTAATCCTATCTCAATCTCAGGAGGGCCAGCAGAGATTGAAGTTCCACAGGGGTAATCCCATATTGCCCCCACAAATTCTGCTAACAGAAAAATCTTCTCTCACTATTGCTCTCCTCTCCAAACCAGTTTGATGTGGACCCCCTACATACATGCACATGTGGTGAACTTATCATTGGAAGTCCCTCAGCTGTAATTACTACCCTGGGCATAAAAATCAAAGGTCATCTTCCACTGCCACCAGTGCGATCCCATCATGACATTCTAGCGGTGAGGTTGCGCCCCTGGGTGGCTCAAGGAGCGTGCTCCATACATTTGGTGCCCTGACCACCCAGCTACAGGCATCCCTGTGGCAAAAAAAAAAAAAAAAAAAAAAAAAAAACCTGGCATCCAGGATGGGTGTTCCTGAAGGCCTGCGGAGCCTTGCTCACCCAAGGAAGCCAGTGTGCTTGCCTATCCATATCTGTGGCAAGGTTGGAGAGCCTCCAAACCCATATCCTTTATGTTTCAAAAGAGGATTTATTTTAGATTTACTGTATCATTGTTGGAAAGGCGGATATACAGAGAGGAGAGACAGAGAGGAAGATCTTCCATCCAATGATTCACTCCCCAAGTGAGCGAAACAGCCAATGCTATGCAAGTCTGAAGCCAGGAGCCTCTTCTGAGTCTCCCACACGGGCGCAGGGTCCCAAAGCTTTGGGTCGTCCTCAACTGCTTTCATAGGCCACAAGCAGGGAGCTGGATGGGAAGTGGAGCTGCTGGGATTAGAACCGATGCCCATATGGGATCCTGGGTGTGCAAGGCAAGGACCTTAACCACTGTGCCACTGCGCCGAGCCCAAGAGGATTTATTTTAGAAGAGAACTTTCATCATGTGCCATTATAATATCCTCTGTCAATAATATTAAAGCTGTTCTGTATTCTTTAATTAAATCCTATTTGGCACAATGTTATGTATATGACAACTTGTTATTATGAAAATTTGCCTTTGTCTGTTGCTTTTCTTAGGTTAAATTGAAATTTTGAAATAAAACGAGAGCCTCATCATCGCATGAAACGGAAAGAAATAGCTCAAGTTTAGGCAAAGCCAGCACTCAGCCTGTTCTACTAATTTCTTGAAATGGTTAGGCTGACAAACATTGAAAAAATATTGAAATGGGCTTTTTTGTTTGTTTTCAAAGCTAAGTTTTCTTTATAAGTAGTGACCTCTGGTACCTGCAGGGCTGAATTCAACTTTAATTTAAAATTTTCTATCTCTTTTAAGTGAGGCCTGTATTGGAGCTTCCTTGCTTCTTTGTGTCTCCATTTACTAAGAGAAAAATCCATTCTTCTTTGTATAACTGTTGCATAACATTCCGTGAGAAATTATATAATTATTTTTCAAGCTAATAACATTTTGATTTTTTCCATATAGACATCAATTTAGTGCTATCAAAGTACTGCAGTACTGAAAAGTTATGCTTCAAAATAAATTCAAGAAATTTCTTTCTAAATTCTTAAACAATATATATAATTTAAATATATCTCTTTTATTTACCTGTAGGTTTGATGATAATAA